CAGCTCAAGCAATAATTTAGAAACTAAACACGGATGCTGCAACGTTGTATTGTGGAGAACTGCACATATGATCGATTAGCCCTTTTTTTATTTCTCACGTATCGTACAAGCTACAATTGGATTGCCTTGGGCTGCCCTGCGTGTTGGGAAGGGTTTGTAATTGCAATTGCAATTTTTAAGCCAGCTTCCAATTGAAATTGACGTTGAATAGACAACAGCTGGCACTTGGCATTAGATTGTCCACCTGTGTGCGGTGTTGAAAGTGCCTCGGGACACTGGGCTTGAGCTGGGGTGGAATGCAAATTGCGTATACGCAGTGCGTGGCCCGGATGTGATGTGAGTGCAATGTGCAAACTAAGCAACGAGCAGTCTCTGTTTTATTTACGCACTGAAAACTCGTTGAAAATAGACACAATCAAACATAGATAGATGAAGAGAGAGGTAGACAGGGAGAGAGACAGAGAGAGGGAGACAATGAATGCTAAATTATTTAGGCCGAGTGCATTAGTGCCCAACAGAGAGGCAGAGAGACCAAGAGACCACAGTGGCATAATTTGTCAGCTGTCGGACAATTTTGTGAGACTGCTGCTAATTAAATATGCCAGAATAGTATACAATGCCAGCAGATTCGCAAAGTAGTTGAGTGCCGTGCAAACAGCAGGCCCAGACACAAACACAACTAAACAATATGAAAGCCAAGCCCAAAGCCGATCTGAGCCAGAGTCCAAGCCGAAGCACAGCCCGCCCAAAGAATGCCTCAATCAAGCACTGCTCTCCATACTCTATACTCTCTCTATCCAATCAGACAATGTCAATGGGCCCACTCAGCTGTGTCTGCCGCAGTTTCTTGATGTTTCATACTTGTATTGGTTTTGTGGCTTCCACATGTGTCATTAATTTACGAGTCGGTCTGCAGTTGCAGCTGGTACTCAGGACTGATGCTTTTACCGATGTGGCACGGAATCAAATATGTGAATACTTATTTTCACCTCAATAAGATGATAGGCTCTGACCGCAATGCTCTCATTAGGTCATTGGAAAGCAAACTCTCAACATAATCTCACCTTTAATCCTTAATAACGATATGGGAATTTAATCTCACTGCAAAAGAATCCGTATCTGCATGTTTATTTATTTCAACTTTACCGTTGGTCATGGCATTTATTTGCATCTCAATTTTCCTTGAAACTAGCAAAGATCATGGAATTCCACAAATTCTAGATGAGGTTGGACTCCCCCTCCCAATATATGTAAAACATTCCTGGGAAAGTCCGACCAACTCTTATTTAAATTCGTAGCTGAGACCCGGATATGTACATATGTACATCGCAGTCTTAACTCCGTGCTGGGATATTCTTTATTTTTTCGCAGTTCAGTCACACAAATTTGCAGTTGCGATTGAATGAATTCTCACATTATTCGGCTGCGGCCTTCCTCACACAGCGGATAAAGAATTTCAGAAAGAAATACACAAATAAATTTATATTATCCCAAAAAATAAAAAAAAGACACGATGTGTAAATTTCGTCTCCTGGGTCTCTTTCTTCTTGGCCCGCTGCAAATTGGTTTTCATAGGTCTTTCTGCATAATGTGAGATATTTTTGTATGGCATAAGCGAAAGTATATAACAGCTTAATTTGTAAAAGATAGCATCAGTAATTATGTACAATACTATTATATAAACGCCCAAATAAGGCATAAATATTTGTGCACTTAATTATAAAATGCATGGCGAAAATGATGCACCTACAAATTTCACATATGTATATCTATTTATTTGTATGTACATTTATTCTTCGCTGACTTTGGCCATTAATTCAATTGTTAAAGGCAGAAAAACAACTTAGTTTTGCTTTACTTAATTCATTTCATAGAGGCATAGATATAATCGGATCTTCCATAGTTTTCGAGGCTCTCAACTTACAACTTTTATAACAACATTTACTTGACGGCTTATGAAACATCCCTTTTTCGGGAATATTCAATTAGCCGTCTAGCTTAGTGTTCGCCATCCACCATGCCAATTATGTTACCTTTCTGTGGAACCAATTAGCCGTTTTATGCGAGCGGGTCACCGACTAACACTTAAACCGTATCTGAAACTGAAATTGAAACTTCAAACCGCCGCTTCCAGCCAGCGTCACAGAGCCCCGGAGCCCCAGAGCCGGGACTGATGAGGATGTCGATGCCTTTGGCCATAAACCAATTATTTGACGTCCCAAAAGGGAGCCTCATGTTGCTTTGTCAATTAATTGGATTATTTATGTGTATTTCAATGGAAACAAAACGCAATAACTTTGCACGTGTGTGTGTGTGTGTGTGTGTGTCTGTGACACATTTGCGAGGCTCCGCTTGGGCTTCAACGGAGTTGGGGTAAATTCGGTAGCCCAAAATTGTCAAACAAAATGCTTGCAATAACCTATTCAACGTTGATTTCTTTTTATTAAAACCACTTTTGGATCATGCTTTAACATGTTTTATATGCATGCTAAGTATGAGTCATTCGACTTTAACTTTTTATACACTTAAAACATGGTAATTGGTGTAACAAAATTAAACACGAGTATTAAGAGTACAAAATATACAAGTCTGATTTTTGCCAGTTATTTTATATACCTTGCAAAGTCCAGCCAGTGTTTTGCTCTGATTTCATTATAGATTTTGCTGTCAATAGGTCAAAGAAATCGAACAAATATTGAACACATCTGAGGAACAGTAAACGGCCAAGAGCACAGTGTCTTTGTCCATCTGAATTCATTTAGTTACTATCATTCAAAGTGATGTCAATTCAGTTGCCGTCAATAAAATCAATGGACAAACTACTATTTTGGAAAAGAAGAGAATCTGAGATAAGCCAAATAACTTTATATTGTATTCTGTTGTAATACAAAAACACACAGGGACACAGTTCCTAATCTGGTTATTGCTCGGAAATGAGATTTGGGAACTGCACTGTCCTGTGGACTATGGACTGTGGACAGTATCATGGAAAACTTCCACCCTCTGATGTCTGCTTTCTGTAAACTAGGAGTGCTTCAACAATGACATTAAGTACTACTGTCAACGTCTTTTTGTTGCCAAGGAAACCGAAACCCTAGCCCCAAGCTGTCAAAGGCTGTTGTGTGGGGGATCGACCAGACCCTAGACAGAACAGGATACGACACTGAGCTCTTTGTGTTCGATAAATGTCAACAAGTTGGGCAAGTTTTAATTGAAACACTTCGACAAGTTGTGCATCTTCGCCTCGAGAGCATCAAACAAATTTACGAGTACACAACATTTTCACCAAATTTTTTCGAAATATCCATTTACAGAAATTCCTGATAAGAGATTTGCATCGCCTTCCCATAGCCCTAGTCCTGCTCCCGTTCCCGCTCCCGCTCCCCCGTCTGATGCGTGTCAAACCAGTTCAAGAGTCAAAAAGCCAAAAACTTTCGACTTCTGCCAGCTCCGCCACATCCATATCCACCCAGCCCTTTGAGGCGAAGAAGCCGTTTCAGGCCAGAAGACGATGTAAGTTAAGACTGTAAAGTGTGAGAAGGTCACACAGTTGTTTGGGTCCTTGTCAAACAATGCAATTACTTTCTCAAGTTTTCAAACAACAGGCACAGGACAATCAATTTCCTGCTCTTGTAGAACAAGTTAATTAATGTCAAACGATCTCGAATTTCACACTTTCATAAAAACCAGCTTTAAGGAGTATTTCTACAAGTGCCTTTGAGTCAGAGAGCCAATAAATACTATCCGTAACAGCTGTACCCCACAGAACTCAGCGCGATGATAGAGTCTGTTCGGACGAAGCCCGACTGTAAATTTTTTACCATCTTTCTATTGCCTATCAATTCATTTTCTGTTCCATTTTGGTCATTGCACTAACCCAAAGTAACGTAAGCGTACCTTTGCCTTTGCTCGCTTAGTACCAGGCTCTCATTTCTTCACCTAGTCTTTATCTATGCTCGCTCTTGTTCTATTTTTTTTCACATGCAGTCATTAAGCCTGCAGCAGGCCCAGCTGCTCTAGTTAGTTACTGCTTGATACAGTACAGACCTTTTTTGTCCCCAATCTATTACTTTGGCTCGAGATCGGCTCGCTTGCCTCATCCAATTGTATCAATCGTTAATACTATATTGTATTTGGACTCTTCGGCCACCCTCCACATACAAATTACCTACAATCATCAATTCGTCATTAAGTCATTAAGCGAAATTTTTTATAAAAATGGAAAAATTTCCAAACATAACAAAAAAAAAGAATACAAATAGATAGAATACATACTGGGTCGGGTCGGGTCTGTCATAAATGAAAAAGTTTAACCAGCAAACAGACGGCGACAATCTAAAATAGAAACAATAATTTCCGACTCCATTCCCCTCGCCACATCCGCTCCCAAGGACACAATGGACGCCGCGTGGCCGTTTCCTGGCCCAAACTTATTCTGCAGGCCCACTTCCGCTTATTCGTAGCACTCGCTTGACGGCTTTGTGCGCACACTTGATGTATTTCCGACTCCGACAGTTGCCATTTTGCTTTTCCTTGTCTCTGTCTCTGTATCTGTATCTGTCTCTGTCTATGTGGCTGTCCCTGGCTATCCGTAATCACTTTGTATATGTCCTGCTCTTCGCTGCTGCCTGCTGCTCCCCGCTGCTGGCTACGGCCGTCCATTGCCAAATGAAAAGAAAGTCTGTTCTTCCATAAATTTGCCCAACAGGTAAAATCATTTTATTTATTTTATTTTTTCCTTTGTTGCTCCTCGCAGCATTTTCTAATTATAAATTGTTGGCGGCTTTAAGTGAAAAATTATGCCAAATTGTTTCTGACAGATTTCATTAACACTTCGGAGTTTCGCATAATTGAAAATATCGTTACCCCAACCACCAATTCTCCTACCACAATCATCAGAAATGTTTTTACTTTTAACTTTTTTTCGGCACCAGCCCCCGGGGGAAACTAATACAGACGTGTCGGAGTTTTTCTTCTCAAAAATACACATACCATATATAATCACATTTTTCTTTTGAGAAATTCTTTTGATTATTTTTTGCGAATAGGTACATATGTATATATTTATTGTGTTTCAGTTTAACCTTCAGTTACCTACAGTTAAAATACTGTATTGTATCGTGCTCATAATGTATATACCACTTTACTCACTCTCAAATAAACGTTTAACCGAACCACTACGTGTCTCTTGTAACAGCTCCGTTTTATATATCGCTTATATATAGAACGGTAAACTAAAACGGTAAAATTATATCCAACACTTCATTTCATATTAAAGTAAACAGTTCAGTGGCAGTTAATGAGCGGAATATGATATTTTTCTTATCTTCAGCCATGGAGGTGAACTCCCTTAATGTTGAGGAGTTGTGTCGACCGTGGATAAGAAGTTTTAAGGGCTTTTTCGCTTCTACATCTTGTAGCACTTCGGAGGCCTTCCTCACAAAGTCCGGATTGATGTTGTAGTCGAAGATGCGCAGGAAGCGCAGCTCGCGGCACTGTCGAATCAGGTACAGATACGCAGAGGATATATCTATCTGCTGGAGGTACGTGATACGCAGGGCCCTTAGGGATGACAGCCCTGTGAGGAGCAGCACACAATCGGGGTTAGAAAAGTTACAGTCAAGGACCTCCAGTGACTTGATGCTGGCCAGCGACTCGGCTTCGTGAACAGCACATATCTGGCCCTTTACACTGAGCGATAGCAAGGTGGTCCTCGGTCCTCTGGCTAGCCAGGAAATCGAAGAGCATTGACAAGGAGCTGCTTGCGTCTTGGCAGCAGTCATATAGTTTCGAGTGCTTGGAGTCACTGCGATAAATCACGAAGCTCAGGTCCCGTAGGTAGGGTAGGTGTGCCAGGACTTCCCTGAGTCTCGCACTGCTCACTTGATCGGTAAGATGTAGAGTCTGCAAACTTGTCATTGTTCTGCAGGACTGTAGCAGATCTCTGGCTGTTAGCTTCACATCTATGTAGAGGATCTCAAGCTGCTCAAACTTTCTAATTTGCGTCGTTTCAAGTTCTGAAGAAGAAACGCAGTTAAGAAAAGGATAATCTCATGATTATCATGAATATTGTATTAACTTACTGAGAGTACAGATGTGTAGTTGTCTAAGTTGGGATGAGTCTTTTAGTATCCGGAGCACATGCTTGCTGATCGATGTCGAGTGCCGATTTCCCTGCCAGATTTTGACGAGCTGCAGATTTCGCATGCTTTGAATCAGTCTACAGAAGTTTTTGATTAGAATATTGCGGCTGCGATTTGGGTATTGAGAGTCAAAGCAACTATCTAGATCATTGCAATAGATATTAAGCTTTTTCACACTCATAGCCACCTCGCTCAGCAGCCTCAGTTCCACAGCCAAGACTTCTCCTACGATCCAAACACTCGCAAACTCCCGACGGGACCAGCCCATAAACACTCCCCGGAACCTCTGGCAGGTCTGGGCAAAACTTATTTGTCCTTCCATACTCAACTGAGACAATATCATCTCGAAGCAATAGTCGTTCAGTTTCAGCACTTCTGATTCCCCCATTCTGACAAATGGAACTACTGCAGTTCCAACTTTCCAAAAACAGATATTTTTTATCTCCAGATAAGATAAGATTCGGGGTAATCTAGTGTTGTGTTGCTCATGAGTGTACGTTTTGAGTTGCTGCTATGCAACTCTGCATTTATACCCAATACTTAGTCAGTATGCCCCCCCTCCGGCAAAGGGCGCTAACATTGAACGACAAAGAGTGTGTGAGAGAGAGACAGAAGATCGGTTATATCGTGAAGGGCGCTGCGTAGTCACTGCATATTTATTTGGTGCTTATGGCTATAACAATGATTCGATCTGATCCAGATTCGGCAATCTGAGAGATATGGTGTAACGTGCAGGTGTGGGATAGCTGTCGTTTACCCATACTAGTATGAAGAGATTTCGTGTGCACCTCTAGCTATGCTCTGACTAAGCTCGCCGGAAATACGAAAACAGTTACGAATTTATCCAATTGCACTGTTCACATATTTAAATGTTTAATATATACACTTAACGGTCATTTTAAAATTCTATAAATATTAAAAAATATCAACAGGCCAGGACAAACACATGCACACACCTGGGCTTACATGCATACATATAGTATGTATATATATGGGACACACACACATTAAGTTTTATTGGCATGGCACTACTATAGTATACTGACCTACTTTATCTACAACTGAGATGGCTCGGCATATACCTGCTGAAAACGCCACATACTCGTACATCCATGCAAACATACTCGTATAGGGAATACAAACACAAGAATGGGGTAAAAGGTGGCACAGCAGGCGCGCTTTGATCTATGGCCTGGCTGGCATTTTCCTTTTCCGCGAAGGTCTCTGCCAGCCACAGCTGTGAAACTTTTCAGCGGCCCACCAGCTCGAAGAGCAGAAAGTAATTTCTCCATTTTGCACGTTAATTAAATTAACAGCAAGGGTTCTTACAACAATACCCTACCTCAGCAGAACCAGGCTGAAAATAACCAACCGTAGACTATAGAAAAACCAAAGTCATCGCCAATGTGGAGATGGATAACGGCAGTCCTTTCGTGGCGATGAACTAGAAAGCAAAGCAGGATGCTAAACAACTACTACTACTAAACTACTATTTATATAGCATTTTATAAAATTGTATCGATCTGCCCCCATTGTACGAGTATATCACGGAACCCCCATTAAAACAATTTTAAATAATTCAAAGCCACAGACAAGAAACTGTCGTATGCCCGGGGGCAAAGTATCCCAGGGATACATATGTATCTGATGGCACTAGGAAGTTTGGGGGGACGACGACGGATCTTCCAGTCAAAGTGCGTGTACGGGAGGAATTATCAAGTGTTGTCAACGCAAACAGCCACCCACACACATGCTCGCAGATACTCGCAGTTGTCCTCCTGCAGGACGAGTCGGGAGTGTAAGCGCTGCAGAGGCTGACGACACTAACAGAGCTTATGTAAAGTGAAAGTGTGCGCGGGCGTGTCATAAGAACGGCACATCGTCCTCTTCTCTCTCCCCCCGCTCAAACACTCTTGTTTGTGCGATTGTCTGTGCGACAATAAACGAACATATACGCACATACTCGTACGTACACATGCGAGAAATGCGTCCTGCAAGGCGAACGACCGGAAAGGCATACATAAATAAGTTTCCGGATTAAACGCACATCTTTCGACTCCTCCGTCCACCGACTCCACTTCCTTGTGCCGACATCATCATTCAGCATTGTTCCAACAGACCCGAACTGAAACAGCAGTGAAAGCGCTCTGAATTTGTGCATACTCGAACGAATGTATGAGTGCGACTGAGCCTGGGTGAACTAATTCATCGATTCGGATGGACTACTGACCACTTAACTCTTTTAATGTTCTAATGAATAATTTGCTAGATTTGAAAACATTGCAAAACCATGTTCTTTTTAAAAGTGAATTACAATTTGTTACTAGGAGGAGCTAGGAGCCCTCCCCACCAAACCCAAAGATGTTCCATTGAATATTTAATGGTTTATAAAATGTTGGTTGTCCCATCCGATGGTTTTACGCAACTCTAAATAATTCCATAAACCATTTTATTCCACCATCCTGGGACATAAAGTATTTTGTGTCAGCCACGTGGTTGGGGCTTCTCTTTTCTGTCTGCTTGTTTGCTGTTTCGCTGTTTCGCCAAAAAGATATTTCATTTTTATTCGACTGCGGCCCTGAACGTGGTCCACACTCGCATTCAATATTCAAGAGTCTCAACAAATTACTTGAACCCTTTTCATAGCCCGTTGGATGCCCCTAAAGGCTTTAAGTCATTTGTCAAAAAGTGCAAAAACGGCTTACGAGACAGCAAAAGCAGAAACAAGAAACACAGTCACACACAAGCAGAAGGATGCTGCTGGCACATTTGAGGACATTTGAGACCCAACCCAATTTCACTTTCACACTTTCTTACTTATGCAAATGTCGGCTGCTCATTCGCTCAGCAGAAACAACAGAGACAACAGGAACGGAACGGAACGGTTACAATATAAGAATAAAATATAATACAATATCAGAGGCCTCGCCTTGGGAAAGAGACTTCCAAACACATTGCCTGTCATCTTTCTCGCACATTAGGCCTACTTTATTCGTGGGTCGTTGACAGATTAAATTACACAAATTTTTGGCCAGGCGACAGGCGTTGACAGATCATTGAGACAAAAACTACATCCATCCTTGGAGGTAAATAAAAATCAAATGCATGTCGGACATGGAAAACCAATTTGGCAACAGCTCCCGGAGTATTGTGGCGCAAGACAGAATTCTAAAATGAAATTAAAATAACTTTATGACGATGTCGATGCATTCACTCACTATCACATCCGTTCCCACAAATTTCCTTGCCCACTCAGCAATCGTTTTGTGTTCCAGTAACCACCCAAATGGAATTGCCAGCAGCCACCCCCATAAAGAAGACAAGGCAAAGCCCCAACCCCAGCCCGGCTCAGCCATCAGCCATTTACCAGATACCAGATACCAATACCTCGAACATTTCCCCTAATTGTATCACAGAGCCAGCGAATTTATGGCCTCAACTATTAAATGTTCCAGCTCCGGGTGGCCACAGCGCCACTTGTGGTTTATTGCGCAACCTGGTGTTTTAAAAAAGGCGGCTAGGATGCGGCCAGAATGCGGCCAAAGTGCGACCACAGTCCCCTGGCCGCATTTTCCAAAGGCTAGTCGTCCGACCAGCTCAGCACATTATAAAAAATTCAATTATAAGCTTTTTATAATGGCATGGGTAGTGTTACACCTGGCCACAATTTTCATTTCTGTTTTTCGGGTTGAGCTTACACTTTTTACTGGCTCAACTGAGTCGTGGCAAAATTTGTGCAATTATTTTCTTTGTCGAACTTTATCGCATGTCTTATCGAGCCCCATAGAAAAGACTGATAAGCTGCCTTTACAAATCATACATCGATTACCGATTCCACATATTTCAGTCGCATGATCCCACTTGAAGAGTGAATACAATGCCAGAAAAGCTTTCAAAGTAAATGCATATTTTATTGGAAATTAAATGAGTGAAATGTCCAAACTAGATCTTAACGATGATTGCCTGTACGCAATATTCGAGCAGATAAAACTTAATTGTGAACTAAATGGAAGAAGGGTGACAGAGGACAACATTCGATACGCAGATCTTATTCAATTTGTAATCTGCAGCTATCGTTTCGCTGCAGCCTTTTTGGACTGGAGCCTTAATCTGTTTAAGCGACTCGAAATCGTTTCAACATTTCATATTAATCGCACAAGTGCTTATATTTTATTCCCAATATATTACAATCGAATCAAGAAGTCTACCAAAACAGAAAAGGAAGCATACTGCAATCTCTTCGCCAATGCCCTAAAGCATAATACTAAGCTCCATCTTGTGGACGATGAGAGCTCTTCAACATAATAGCACCTTGAGAAAACCAGAGATTAAAATGAATCGTAAGAAACTTCTAATTCTATATACGTACATTTTGTTATGTTTTTATATAGTCCTAAGTCCAAATCATAGACTCAATCAGGCTATTTGTATAGTGTATTCCCTAGACAATCTGCTGGGCTTCAGTAATCTGGAGATCCTGGAACTGGGTGTAAAATGGATGCCCGTACCTTGGTCGACTGCGTCAAATCTCCGAATCTCCGTGAGCTTGCCTTTATGAGCACCGAAATCTTAGGGAGACTCGCTGACATTGTGCCATACTGAAAAAAAATCTAAAGATTCAAAGATTTCGCATGAAGTCTGGTGTGGATGCCACCGAGTATGCATCACTGGGGACGCTGGAAAATCTGGAGTCGTTGCAAATATATGGACAGCACCGAGTCGGTTCATTAGCACCACTGTTCAACTCATTGGCCACCAAAATGTCGAAGGGGCTGGAGCGATTATCTATCCACGAAGCTAAGATACATTTTGATGAAATCAATGAACTGGCCACAGTTCGATATTTGGATCTCCTTACCTCGCGCACTCAACTGGAGCCTGATGAGGCTCCCGACCATATTAAGTTTAGTCTTGTTGATAAGAAATCGAAGAGGCTTGACTTATTTATCGACAACCATGCCTGCTCTTCAGTCCTTTATGCCTTTGTATCAAAGCTGCACAATTTGCGAGGGACTTGCATAGATGAAAGCCAAGCAAGTGGTGCATTGAGAAACCTATTCCAAGGTCTCGCTTCTAGAGAGAACCAAACTCTTCAGAAATTGGACCTGGGACGCTATGACTTCGACATCGACTGCGAGCAAATGACATACATAGCTAAAATTAGTTCATTAAGATTTTTACGATTTCGCATTTATTTGGTGCAGCTCAAGGAACTGCGAGCTCCAGACATCAGCTCCAAAATTCATATACCATCTGATATTTGCAATTCTTTGCATAGCCTAGAGGCTGATCAACCAGTGAAGAGATCTGTTAACGATTTATCACTAACAAACTCACAAAAGGATTTTCTGGATCATGCTGATAAACAGGCGATTACACTTATTGGCCATTTTTCGTATCTCAAGCAAATGCTGTCACGCTCCAAGTTCGGAGTTGAAAATAACCGTATTTTAATTTTTGGATATCACGTGAGCTTCGACGCTAAAAACAAGATGGTCGTCAGCGTCAGCATTTGTATAGCTTCACCGATTCCCGGCCAGTTCAATCAAAGCTAACAACGGCAACGGCTGGTTGCATCTTTTGCAGGAGGCGAAAATGTGGGAGATGGTCCACAACTCGCCCTCAAGCTGATCGGAGATGATTAACGGAAAAGTGGTGCTCGTGTAGTCGAAAGGCAACGAGTCCGAGATATTTCTGCCCCACATTTCCTGCGCCTATGTTTCCATGAAACACTTTGCAGCCAGCGAACTTTTACAATTCTCGCGCTTGATGTGAATCCGGTCCCAACGCTGCGACGAGCCAAGCTAAGTCGAAAATTCATCCCTTGAGTGAACACTGCCTCTCCAGGAGTAGTGACCCAGGCCTCTAGAATCAAAATTATTATACATTTTATTCGAAATCATGTACTACAAACCAAACAAACCATCCAAATTCTCTATGAAGCTCATGTTGGGCCAGAACGCTGTCTTGGTTGAGTATCCGGGCATGGAGCCGCAGCTGTTTATGCCCGTCTTACTCAACAATGACGTCGTCTTCAAAAACGTTGTGCTCGATCCCAAGAATCCGCTTGTAGGAAAGGAGCCACCAAGGCAAGATTTTCCTGTCCGACAGAAGACAGCTGTGCCCTCGCGTTCTCTGCCCAATCGTGTGGTAAGCCAGAAAAAGAAGAAGACCATCAGCATCAAAAGCGAACAGTCACCTCAAATCCAAGGCAAAAAGGTCATTCAACAAGTTCCCTTGGAGAAGTCAGTTCCTCAAAAGAAGGAGATATCGAGGAGAGTCGCCCCCAAAATCCAGCCTAGTCGACAGTGCAGCATCACTCGAGAAATGCTGAAGAAGCAGGGCATCACAGGCACTCCTCCACCATTCGATGTCATTCGCAAACTCTTTTACCTGGATAGAGGCAACAACGGAAGTCAAGGAACAGCCAGTCGTCTCCGTTAACAGATAGACCCCCTGCATAAGATGAATATACTTCACAGTGATCACTCAAAGAGGAGCTGAGACAATTTTTGATCACTACGAAGTAGATTTACCTTCGGGGGATCTTCAGGGCACTCGATCGTCAATTTAAATTGTTTATATGTGAATACAAATTACAAATGTCCGATTAACAAAATAACGGAAACACCATCTAATAAATTGTTTAGGTTGTAATTTCGAACATTTTATAACTATTTGATATTAAAATTGCAAGCTTTTAAAGCTTTTTCATCGACTGCCACACACACCCCCCAAGTAAAAAGCTTTCCAGTCGCGAATCAGCTGTTTTTGTTTGAAAACTTTAAGATAGGTCAGTTCCATAATACATATGTATATGGTACACGTCAAGCCGGCCTCTTAGCGTGAGAATATTTCACAATATTAGTCATATTTTTAAGTTCAGACGTGGCCAAAGAACATTTCTGAATGCAAAGTTAATTTTACTGTCAGTTCTGCAACGATCGCTTCCGAAATGGGTGCCTCCAATATACTGGAGCTCTACGATGACTGTCTCAATTACATCTTCGACTTTTTGCCGTCACAAGATTGCCTAAGATTGGCCCAAGTTTGTATTAGATTTCGTCAAATATTTGTTAGTCAATGTGGCAGACGGTTCCGCGAATATACGATCGATGAGAATAGTTCTAGGGAGGAGCTGATACAGCTTTCTATTTGCCGCGAGGTGGTGCAAAACTTCACCATAGATCTGCATAATTTTGACATGTCGGTTATCACCAACAAATATAGTTGTAATACTCCGACCGTTTTCTTCGACATACTCTGCTCCACATTGGCGGGAATGCACCAGTTGGAGCATTTAAATGTGAAGCAGCTTAAAATACTCGTCACAATCATTGAGAGGCCCGTCGATCAAATTCTAACCGCAGTAAGACAGCTGAAAGATCTGAGAAGATTGAAAATTCATTCAATATTTGGTAAGTATATTTATTTTATATGTATGTACGTCATAACTTTCTCAGAACGCTCTCCATGATCTTCCAGACTGCAGCGTACAACGTCTGGGCGAGCTGCAGCACCTTGAAGAACTTCACTTGCACGTACCACAGATTGCGTCATCTACTCTGGTCAAATGCTGCAAATCCAACTCCAGACTTCACAGTCTGCATCTCGGCTATGGCTGTGCACAAAGCAACTTGTGCGACATTGTTCCTCACTGCAAAAATCTGGAGGTATTCAAGTTTGGCATGACAGCGGAATCCTCAGCCTACAAGGCCCTAGCGCGGCTCCCCAAACTGCGGCAGCTGACGCATTTTGGCATAAGAAGAGCGGACTCCTTTGAGCCCCTGCTCACCTCCCTCGCTGACAGACCCCAGCTACTGCACCTAGACATCGATGGGGGAAGTATCAGTCTGCCAGAAACCCGTCAGCTGATTCGACTACAAAGCTTAGTGCACTTGAAATGCTTCTGCTCGACGGTTCAGTGTGTGGTTATGCTCGCCCGACTCTCGCGGCTGGAGGAGCTCTGCCTGTGGATGACCAGCCCATTGGACATCTCGGACGCCCTGCTGGGAATTATTGCCAATTGCGAGAAGTTGAAGTTGCTGAGACTCGCAGCGGGAAATATAAATAATGACTTTTTCAGCAATGCCATGAAATTGAGTCGGGGTAAAAAAATACCCCTAAAGCTTGAGATTCCAATGCCGTCCCATAAACAAACAATTACTGCAGAGGTTGGTAGTTCGTCTAAAGCGTAAATAAATTAAATTATTTCAAATCCATAATTTCCAGAAATGTTCAACCGAAAGAGAACTGAATAACTGGTCCGCATTTTAAGCCGTAAATTTGGCAGAAGTTTCCAGCTTGTACTGTTGCGTCTAGATCTAACAAATTAAAAATACTCAAGCTAATTAAAAAAACTAATAATAATAAAAAGTAGCCGCGAATAGCTTTACCTCTTGAAATGAATGATCTTTTTAAATTGGTTTCAATTGCCGAAGATATCAGTACTGAGTACGATACGGATTGGTGGCCGGACGAGGCGGTGTTCGTCTTAGACTGGATCCCATTATGGATGAATGGAAGCTTTTTCTCCACATAGTCCAGTGCAAGAAAGCGGTCACCTGATCCACTTCCGGGCTTGATCAGGGCCTATTCCAGTGAGGATGCTTGGCCAGTGCGTTGCTTTTACTGTGCACGGTCCTTCGTTAAGAATTTTGAAATCAGAACTTGGCGGAGCAGAAGTTCGCAAGAAGTTCTCCAATTTGGATGAGCACAAAGAGCTAAGTGTTACAAGCACTAATCATCTTTATATTGTACATTATTAGGGCTAAAATTACCTTTTACCTATGAATGAAAGGATATCCCCAGGCGATGGCAAACTAGAAACTTACCAATCTGGACGGCTTAGCTGTAAGCATCAATGATGTAGTGCAAGCCACTGACATTTCCACGATAAATGGGATTCAATAATTGAACTCTGTCAGACATCCGAAATTGTCTGATTACTTAATTTCGAAGCTCTTTAGTTGAGCGTAGATCTCTATGAATAACTTGGCAGGAAGAAAGAAGATGCATTCGAGCTCATTTTAGCTAAGGCTTTAAGTAATTTCCTAGGCTCAGTTCAACTATCTAATCAACCTGAGAACCTCTTTTGTTAACAACGAATTCCTGCAGCTCAAAAGCACTCAAATCGTGTGTCGAAAATGTCGCATACTCGAAAGCTGAACGAAGCACGAGGCACGATATGAGTTTCGCAAGTTCTCCTTTTGGGAGAATGATGAAAAATGCACTTTGTAATTCTCGTTTCTCGTCATCATCATACATGCAACGTCGCGTCGCGTCGCCCATCCGTCGCCCAGCACTTATAAATGTCATATTAGAGTCAGAGTTGCTGTGGCTCTTGGCTCCTGGCTACCGGCTCCCGGCTGCTGGCTTTTTATACTTTCGCTCCAGACTAGCTCAGAGGAGCCCAGCCAGGTCTGGGGCGTGGCCATGGCCATATTTTTACTCTCAGTCGCTGTAATATAAATTTATATTCTTGTCACACACTCATTATTCGTGAGATCCCGTGTTTGCCATGGGGCTGGCTTGGGGCTTGACGACTCCCCAAATAAAGCAGATGAATGGCACTCTATAACTTTTCTGCTGTTCATTACAGTTTTACAGAATTACTGGCATATTAATGCCAATTTGATTAAAAGGCAAGGTTCTCGTTTTCGGCCAAGTTATATATGTAACAATTAAATACGTAAATACTGCCTTCCACCTGGAACATACACAGAGCATATGTATCTTCGATTCGCGCAAAGTATTATTCAACTGTTGCTTCAAGACTGCTTTATAAAATACATATCATTTCGCACCGTGGAACCCTTTCGCTCTCATCGCTCTGTGTCTGACAGAGCATTTAACAAGAGCGAGGCCATAAATCTTTTGGGCAGCATTCGGCACCTATAGACTGTGCCAAAATAGATTGAAATACATTTTTCCTTTTATGCTTCTGGGGATTTTATATTTCACTGTGACTTCATTGAGAATTTAAGTCGGCTCCATTGGGGATTTGGCGGCATCAGACGTCCTTGTCTGGCCTGCAATTTGTCAGCATGGCGATAAGCTGTTGGAAAGGGACTCCCAAAAGGAGTCGTATTTGGAGTCCTAGTCCCAGTCACTGTCAGGGTCATACGCTTGCTTTAAGGGCCATAATGACCGCCATTGTAGGGGTATTGTAACCCCCCCCCCCAGAATGGGCTTTCGCATGGAACTTCCCATATCCGAGTCCAGTGATTGACTGAGCAAACGTATCCATTCTCCCATTGTAAGCGTTTCAATTCAATTGATTTCCAACATCGATTCCAACATGCGATAAAATTGGAGGGTGAACAGCAGCCTTCAACAATATATAGATTTATTTATTGTTTTCCTATACATACACAATCGTATATGTGGCTTGGCCTATATTTACTTTGTGGACGAATACGAGTATTGTATGGTATTGTTGCCGAGTGCGTAAAGATTTATCATTGATTGCACTTGTACGAGCACCTTCAGCTTGAGGCCATCAAATTTACACTTGAAGTGTCCCAGATCCAAGGTTCCAGGTCCCGGCCCCGGCACCGGCACCGGCACCAGCAGCGGTCCCTCTCCCAAAATCTTTTCCCTACCCACACCCACCCGGTTGGATCAGTTCATTGAACTGTGAAGCGAAAATCATTTTGGGGCCCGCCATTAAAACTCCCAACAAATAAGCAGATGGAATGGCATTTCATTGGGGAGCATTTTTGGGGTAATCAGTTTGCCAGAAACAAACAAATCAATTACAGTCGTTTGAATAATTTTCTGCGTGATTATATCCAAATAAAATCAAAATATTCCACTAAATCTATTCTCTTGAGTTGTATGAATTTCAGTGTATACTTATAAAATGAATGAAAGGCGAATGAAAATTAAAATGAATATGTTCCCAAATATGTAACTCTTTTCTGTGAGCACCTATCAGACTTGTATCTACTTTTATGAGTACGTACATATGTATGTATACCGTATTCCATAATAAAACCGAATACTAACAATTTAGCTTGCATGCACAAGTCGGATCCCCTGTCTGCTTTTCCAAGTCCTGGGCTGTTACCGCTTAACTGCTCGTTTCGACGTCTTGCAGCACGCTCGCTTTGGATAATCTTTTCACCGCATTTTTGTGGTCTCACATGCGGCGCTTGGCAGAGGCCCCTGGCAGCCTGCAGCCTGCAACCTGCAACGTGCAACCGCACACCAACATGCCAATTGTGGCTAAAGCTGGCAGTCCGGGGCGGGCTGTGAGATGATAAAAAGTTGAGGCTGCATCTCCAGCAAAGGGCGTGGCAACTGTGTGCCAACCCATTTGCATGGCAGTTGTTGTCTCTTTTCTTGTCTTGTGGCTTGTTGCATATTTTAGCAGTCTCCGTTTCATCCGCTCGTTATGGCCCCCACTCCACCCCACGCCCGACTTGATTGCCAACAATAATTTTTCCGGCTGTCATTTTATGCTGGCACTTTTCCACTTGAGCCGAAGCCCGTTTTATGTTGTTGGATACACGACGATAACAAAACTTGACCTTCTGGCATCCCCATTAACCTTGGAGTTTGTCATGAATCTTTAATATGTGTGATTTGCATTCTTTTTTGGAATGTCTAATTAACATCACACGTTAAACAAATTCATACAATTTCATGTGCCAGACAAGGAAAATGGGAAACGGAACCCCTTTGATCTCACCTGGGGACCACGACGACGACAGCAGTAAGGGTCCAACATTATCGTTTCTTTTTACGAGTGTGAGTAGGGTTATGAGATCTTGCAAGTGTATGCGTACATAAATATTCACACATATTCAAATTCATGCACACAGGCTGGTTGTGGGTTGCTGGCGGCCGTAGAGAGGGTAGCGCGGGGAGAGATGGAGCGGGGTAGAACACCCTTCTATGTCGACAGTCGACCCGGCCAGCATCTAATGGTTTTATGCCATTATGGTAGAAACCAATTTATTTGCACATCCTGTTCCTGTTCAAGTTGCCGGTGCACACGGGGGCTGCCTTTAAAGTCAAATCATAAACAAGAGAATAATAATATTTTCAGGGTACACAGCCTTACGTTCAAGCAATTTAACCTTTTGCAAAATTCTTCGCATATTTTGAATTATGTTAGAACAACATCATTGAACATAATATACCTAAGCCTTCTCGTTTGGGTGTTTGGCTCCTTTCAGAGCCATCTTTTTTGGACTTATCCATCCGTAATTATAAGGGAAATCAGATCTAGTCGAGGTAAACCACATTGCAATGTGCAAGCCAGCTAACCGGAGTTCTGTGTCTGGTTTATGGCCCGGACGGGGTCCATTAATCAAACACCTCAATCACAGCCTACCTGTCCGCACTTTGGATGTACTCAAAATTCAATTCTGAAACCATAACGATGATGCGGGGATGTGGACGTCGATGTCGATGTGGATGTGGATGTGGATACGGATGAAGACGACGTTGATGACCTCATTAGCTTCAAGTTGCGTTTACTCGGCCCTGACTCGATCATTTTCCACTCAGTTGCAGTTGCCCAGTTCATGGTTCTCTGTTCTCGGTTCTTGGTTCTGCAGTTGCCGTTGCCGTTGCCATTGCAAGCTACACACTTTAGCCTACTTAACGAGTTTGTTAGCCATAAATTCCGTTGGCCAACAATAAGGATATTGGATGTCAACGTCGTCTTGTCTTCGCCTGTCGCTGGCCCAGCCTAGGCCCTGTAATGTAATTTCCATTGCCCGAGCTCGTGCCCGAGTCCGAGCACGGAAAATGAAACGGAATTCCCTCATTCTCTCATCGCCTGCCCACCCCCTCTCCACTACGCCTTGGATTCCTGCATTCTGGCATTTTCATATTTTCCTCGCTTATCATTCGGATTGGGATCACGTATTCTATTCACTTTTAGCTTGTTGTTTCCCATTTTGCAGGGCCAAAGGAATGCTAAGTGAGATTAACTAAATTGTTGTTCAAATTAACGGCATTAAAATGGAATTAAAAATGCACTTCCAGGTAATTGGCAACTGGAAAGAAAATTGTGTGTAAAGCGTTTTATAACAGCCTTTTTAGCCTTGGCTTGGCTTTGATTCAATGGAAAATATATACCAGAAAGCGAAACCCTATGCCATAAACGCTTAGGCCTTGCCACGGAATAAAAAAAACAAAGTCCCATTTGGGGTGAAAACAAGAGCAACCGAAGAAACCTCAATTTTCCAGATACTCGTAACTCATAAGCTTTACAGCTTCCTGTAGGTCATGTGTCCCCAATCCGAACTGCCTGCCCCGCACAAATAAACCAAAAGAATGGTGGACAATTTCGTTTGGTTATTTTTTTTGCATGCCCAGCCCAGGATCGGGGTCCTGATTGGGTCGGGTCATAGCTCAATATATGAATGTATATGTATGGGTATGGGTTGTATATCGCTTATCGCAAGGACGGAAGGAAGCCAGACCCACAGCAGGAAATAAATTCAGCCGGTTGCAGGAAATTATTTATATTATATTTTTTATGCGAACTGTTTTTTCATACATTTCTCTTTTTTGTTTACTCGCAAAATATTTAATATGCATTTTAATCAAAGTAAAAGAAGAGAACTTGCCCCGAGAACAAAACCTGGCGGTATTAAACCCTACACGAAGGTCGAGGGCAGGCCCAAATATAAATTATAATTTCCGCTGGCGGCCACAGGACACAACATATCCTTCTTACCCGTAGCCAGGAGCACAGGCAATGACATAAAACAGAGTCCCGACAACATCTGCGTGAAGTGCGTTCAATTATTCTCTTCTTTCGCCGGATTTTTCCTGGCTGCTTCTCGTGGAACCCAGCTTCATCTCGAAATCTCCATGGAGCAGATAAACTTTCATCAAGTCAAAGAAGAAACGGGGGGAAGAAAAACCAGACAAACAACAAGAAAACAATTTGTTTCCTTTCCTTTTTATTCGGATTTTTAAGGAAAATGTTATTGCCACTAAAGGAAAGTCATCTGGACATGGGTCTGCACTCCATTCCATGCCCTAAAGCATAATACAATTGTTACAAATGTTTTGCAACTACCAAAAAAGCATTTCATTCGAAGGGAATGCTGGTCGAGTGAGCAGGAATTAATCATCATTGGATAATTTCGCACTCTAAAGAAGATTTTAATTTTTTTTTTTAAAGCATAGTAATCATATAATCACTTATACATATGTAAAATGCAACTTGGATTATTGTGAAGACGAGGACAAGTACAAGTACTCGCGTGCTTCATTTGAATTTAGGCAGGCTAAGTCTGCAAAAAATTCTCGACTACTCTTGCAGTGCCCATGGTTCAAGCCAGCATAAAAAGATAATTTGGAGTCAGAATTAAGCGAGCGGAAAACGGAACAAGGAAAGCGGAAAAGAGAGGGCAAATGGAAAGTGGAAATGGCTGTGCCTCAAATCAGCAAATGGAAGTATATCGAACGCGCAAATGGAGGCCAAGCCAAAGCCAAAAGGAAAAGGCAAAATATTCATGATAATGCAAAGGACGCAGCCAGATGCCGGGAAATGCCACGCAAAAACCCAGCGGAAAATTTAAGAAAATTCTTCACGACAGCCTTTGTGTGTCCTTCGTACTGTTTCCTGTGTCGTGTGTGCGTGGCCCAGAAGAAAAAGGATTAAATCAATGTTGTGGAACAAATTGTGTTTTATGTGTGTGTGTGTGTGGCAGGAATGAAGGTAATGCAGCCGAGCCGCATTTGATATCCTCGTTTCTTCCAGCGATTTTGGCCTGCCACCAGCAAGCCAAAGGCATAACGAGGTGCCCGGATGTGGATGTGGATATGTGTGCACCCCAGCTCAGATCCCCAGACATGACCACACACGATGTCCCATTTGATTTTGATGGCGTGAAGCTCACACGAGCGTTAATAATCTGAACACAGCACGAGAACGGAGCCAGCACTCTGATGGATGGATGGTATGGTATGGTATGGTATGGTATGGGCTACAGATGGAAATTAACTACTTAGATTTACGAAATCACAATCATGTTTGAGTGGGGCTTGGCTTACAAATTTGAACATTATTTTTGAATTCTGGACTGTGTAAACTAGGCAGAACACGCTTTGTTTCAGAATTCGAATCGAATGCTGCTTGTATTTAGAGTAAAGGATGGTGAAAAGTGGACACTCTTGATAACTAAGTTGAAGCCGTTTGGGCCAATTGAAAATCGCTCAAAACAGTGGGAAAGTGGGAGCTGTACGACAACATGAGTCAAATTGAACACGGAATAGGCACAGAGATGGTCACTGCTCAGATTCCTTTTCTCGTTCCCATTGGTCAACCATCTCAGCCAGAGAACCTGCTCCTCTCTACACCCACAAATGACATGTGACCCGTGGATTTGGGTGACGGTTGCATGGGGATCCGCGCCCTCCCTGAGCGTTATCGATGAGTACGCGATGGAAAAGACGGGGCACAACGAAGCTTTGTTTTGTTGTTGGCATCGGTGGCCAAGTGGAGAACGACACTAGCATTTTCCGGTAGTGGCATAGGTACTCGTGTAGACATTGACCATGATGGCCACATCGACCGACATCAATTTTATCTGGAGCATTGCATGGCACTCTGGGCATCTCTGGGCAGGGTAATACCCCGACAATCACGTTCATTATCTGTTTGACTATCCTTTTCACAAATTACCCCTATACGCATGAAAATATATTATTCGTAAAACTCAAATATTTAATGATATTTTTAAGATTTTCCGAATCGAACCGTAATCTATTTCTATTGAGTTATCAGAGAAAAGGCACAAGGCTTCTGCTATGACATAAACAAATTTATTGAGTGATCAGTAGTTATCTGATTACTGAGTTGCCATAGCTGCTCAACGATTTGTATAGAGATATGTATATAAATCAATACACAACATCTCTCTCCGTCACTCAACAATTCTTTTCGAGTACCACTACCACCTGAAAAGTCCATTATAATCATTAACCGGGCTGACATATACCTCACCTCAGCTCTGCTCCGATTGCGGCGCGATAAGATAAACAAAAGAAAGGAAAACCCCAAACACAAGGTAACACAAGGTAAGCCCTTGGCGGTGGTAAGTAATGGGAAAGTCACTGCCATGGGGACTGCCTTGCTCGAGCCGAGGGAGTAGGCCATTGGTGCCATTGGGGCCATTGGAACAATGAGCAGAAGTAGGCACTGGAAAACGTGCGGCACGTGAGCAAATAGTCCAATGGCAGTGGGCAAATAAATTGCTTCGTGAATGCCATAAACGATAACAGGCAGCCTTTGATAAGATGGTGCTTATCAATGTCCAACCAACAATAAAATACAAGAAAAGGACACGATACGTGGCCGATGGCAATGCGTGATTTCAGAGTTTTATGGCCCATAAAAACTAAATTTAAATGTTCTTTAAGAATACACTTTTTTCATTTTCTAGCAGCAAAAATCACATTGATATTAAATAACTTGGGTTTATTGGCCATAAATTAAGAAATTCCCGATATTTCGAATTCATTTCTCTTCCAGAAATGAGTGATATTTCGTAGTTCTCAGATCCCCAGCACTCCATTTACCTGCAGATCTTCCAGTGGCAGGTCCTTGACAACCGCTGTGAAATCTTCCACTGCGCAGGCATAGGAGTAACCCTTCTTTAGATCATCCTTGGTCCAACTGACCCAAGTCAATTGCTGGCCAATGTCCTGGCAAATAATGTACTCCTTATCGATTTTCTCGCTATCAGCATGAGGATTGTTCACGCCGATCAAGACAATGCCCTTCCTGCTCTCTCGATCGATAATCACTCGGAAGTACAGCTTTGGAACGGGGATCAATCCATTGTTGTTCTCATCGAAGTTCAAATAGAGCTCCCGCTCAATGCCCTCGACATCGGGCAGGGTGGAAACACCCCAAGTGCCTGTATAGCAGTCCACTGTGATGTTCTGGTCGGCCACGAACTTCCTCACACTGTCCTCGATCCGTTCCCAGTTGCCGGCATTGAAGGTCTGCCACTGAGGGGCCACGTTCACGAAAAGGAAGCTGGCCATCTGAGCAGCCCCGAAGACAAAGTCCGTCTTGGAAGAGAGATGTCCGCGAGCCAGGTACACATTACCGCTGATGTTGAAGTACGGCGAGGAATCCTGTCCCAGAATCTCACTAACAGTGATGTTCTGCTGCACTTGGGTGTACATCTGGTTGACGTCCTTGCCGTCATAAAAGCCTCCGGTAATAAATGTGGGCCTAGCCACGGAACGCTGGTAATGAGCACTGCCCGGATGAAGCACATGATGGACATAGCGAGTCACCTCGGCCAGCTCATCGTGACAGACATCATAGGTTTGAAGGAAATCGTCATCAGAGGAGGATGAGTCGGTTGCCAGCTGGAAGCCCGCTTCGAGCAGATCTGTGCCTCCATTGCACTGGCGACCGGTTCGACGAACCGTGTAGCTCGGCCAGGAGGGGCAGACGAAGTCCTGCAGCTGATACAGACTGCCCAGGAGCAAGAAAGTCTGTTCCTGCCAACACGTGGCCGTCAAGCTGCTATATCCCAAGAAAGGCGCCACGAAATTTTTGAGACAGTGAAGTTCCAGTACCTCACCATGTTTGAGCTGGGCTAAGCCATCCAAATTTGACTCCAGATAGCGAGCCTGTCCCAACTCGTTGCGTATCACGAAGAGCGGAGCCGGATCTTTAAGGTCCCCGTTCACACGAAAGCTGCAGAGCTCATCTACAAGAGACTGTTCACTGAGACCTAGGATACCCGTGGTGTGCAGTTGATCCAGTGGCAAATCCTTCACCACATTGGTGAAGTCCTCCACTGCGCAGGCGTATGAGTAGCCCTCCCGGAGATCAGCCTTATGCCAGTCCAGCCAGTCCAACTGCGCACCCACATCCTCACAAACTACATAATCCTGAAGGGTGTCATCCAAAGAGATGTGCGGATTGTTGACCACCACCAGAGCGATTCCGCGTCGACTCTCCTGATCGATGACTATGCGATAGAGTATTTTGGGAACATCGAGTTGCTTTGTTTCTGCATTCAAATAGAGAGGGGTTTGAGCACCATCCCAATTTGGCAAAGTTGAGATCCCCCAACTGCCAGCAAAGACGCTCACATTGAGGGATTGATCCACCACATACTGACGCAAGCTAGACTCCACCGCCAGCCAGTTGCCAATGCTGGCACTCCTCCACTGCGGGACCGCGTTCACGTAGAAGTGAGTGGCTCTCTGGGCAGATCCATGCACAAAATCACGACGAGCTGCCAGTTGTCCTCGCGTCAGATAGAGATCACGAGAGCTGTCGAAGTACTGGCTGGCATCCAGCCCCAAGGCGGCACTAAATGCCTCTAGCTGATTGGCCTGACCGTACAGAAGATTCACATCCTTACCGGAGTAGAAATCACCTCTCAGGTAGCCCGGTTGGGCGACTCCTCGTTGATAGGCCACGTTCGCTGGTGTCAGCTCGTACCTCGCATATCGCGTGATCTGTGAGTCTTCATCGTAGCAAATCTCCAGCTGGGGCAGCACACCAGCGGCCACATCGAAACCGATCTGTACTAGATCTGTTCCTCCCTCGCAGGTCTCTCCCGATCGATGCGCCTCATATGTGGGCCAACTTTGGCAAGTGAAATCTCGAATGTTCAGCTTTTGATCCTCTGCCTCGTACATCTGATCGCCTACACAGCGTGCCGTGACAGCTGTGTATCGATTCAATGGGCTGGCCAGGGCACCCGTACAGTGCAAGTCAATAGAGGATCCTTCGTCTACCGTGTACACCCCGCTTTCATCGGGCAGGAGCCAGCTGAGAGCTCCCTGGGGTGTCAGCAATGGAGCAGGGTCCTTGAGACCGCCATTTATGCTGAACTGACAGTGGGTGGGAGAAGGAGTGGGAATGGGAGTGGAGGTTACAGGTGGTGCTGCTGTTGTGGTGCTGGGCACAGACGTGGTTGGAACAGTCGTTGAAGGCTGGGTCGTGCTGGAGGCTGGCTCTTCTGTAGTTGGAGAAACTGTAGTTGAGGCTGGTGCAGCTGTTGTAGTTGAAGGTGGTTCTGTGGTGGGAAATACGGTTGAAGATGGTTCTGTAGTGGGAATAGCTGTGGTTGAGATGGGTAGATCAGTAGTAGTAGAAACGGGTGGTTCTGTAGTTGAAGAACCAACAGTGGTTGATAAATCAGTTGTTGAAATTGGCAAATCTGTAGTTGAACCTGGTGGGTTTGTGCTTCCTTGATCTTCGGTTGTAGTGGAAGGGGAAACCGTTGTCAGGTCGTCCAGGCCCAGAACGCCGTTCGTTTGAAGATCATCCAGTGGGAGGTGCTTGACCACCTTCGTGAAATCCTCTACAGTGCAAGCGTACGAGTAGCCCGCATGCAGATCCTCTTTGTACCAGGACACCCAGCTCAGCAGATGCCCAATATCCTCGCATAGGACATAGTCACTTTCTATTTTATCCAGACTGGCGTACGGATTGTTAACTCCAATTAGAACAATGCCCTCACGGCTCTCCCGGTCGATGATGACACGGAAGTATAACATTGGCACGGGGATCAAGCCGTTGTTGTTCTCATCAAAGTCCAGATAGAGCTCCCGTTCGATGCCGTCTACATCTGGCAGGGTGGAGACTCCCCAGGTACCCGTATAACAGTCCGTGGTAAGATTACGATCGGCCACAAACTTGCGGACACTCGACTCCACCCGCTCCCAATTGCCTCCGTTAAAGCTCTGCCACTGGGGAGCGGCGTTGATGAAGAGAAAAGTGGATCTCTGAGGAGCTGCAAAGATCTGGTCCGTCTTGGCAACCATGTGGCCCCGGGCCAGGATGCGATCCTCGGTGTAGTTAAAGTAGGGCGAGGCATCCAGGCCCAGGATGTGGCTTATAGTGATGTTCTGCTGCACCTGAGTGTACATCGTGTTCACATCGCGCCCTCCGTAAAAGTCCAGCTCGATGAAGGCCGGTCGGTCGACTCCACTCTGATATACATAGCTGGAGGGGTAAAGCACATGGTGCACATAGCGCGTAACTTCTGCATCTTCGTCATGACACACATCGAATGTCTGCAGAAAGCCACCGTCCTCCACCTCGAATCCCACTTGGACCAGATCTGTGCCTCCGTTGCACTCCCTGCCGGTACGCAGGGCGGTGAAAGTGGGCCAGCCAGCGCAGGTGAAGTTGATAAACGGATAGATGAATCCATCCACAAGGAAGTACTTCTGCTGCAGACACTGAGCCGTCACCTGGAAGTGGTTCTCGAAGGGAGCCACAAATCCAACGCCCGGACAAAACATATCCAGGAATTCGCCATTGACTAAACGCACGGTACCCGTGGAATCCGGTACGATTAGTTCAAAAGAGTTATGACGCGAGAAGAGCGGTACTGGATCACTCAGATCACCGTTGACTCTAAATTCGCATTCTCCGTTCACTGTCACGCCCTCATCGCCCTCGACGTAGGGTTGTGGAAGTATTCTTGCCAAACGTGCGGATACATAACCAGGACTGGCGACCAGCAGCGCCAGGATCACCAGGGTAACAATCGAGCAGAGGGACAACCTCATCGCGAAGCTTCAGAGGCCGGTATGACAAGCGGCGAGCTGCTGAAGTACATTCTTATACAGCTTTCTTATCGATTATGGCATTTGATTATGGCATTTATAGCTCCTGATTGTATGAGGGCATAAATAGTAGTGAATGCGTCCAAAATATTGATGCAATCGAAATAAAGAGCCAAGATCTATTCGATCAATGATATTTCGAAGGTAATGGCAGCCACTTGGATGAGCCACTTGAGCTGATAAATTGATGGCGTCTAACACAATTTATATTCAATAATTTCGACACGAAATAATCAGTGTTAAATACTTCTTAAAATACCTTTAAGGTAAGAAAATTTGACTCACTGTGGAACTATTCTATTATGTGTTTAACGACTCCGTTATCTTGGGCTAGTCTGAAACTTTATCAAAAACACCCGTAAAATTGGCTATAATAAGAAATAATATTCTTACAATACCAATCGTAATAGGTTAACCAAACAGATATGTGCAAAACCTGAGAGTATGTTCCAAAGTTGAAAGCGATAATTAAATGGCATCCGTTTTCTTTTTTGACGTAGCTATAAGTAATTCCTTTCCAATCCAGTTGAATTCTTTGTTCTGCAACAGAACAGTTAATTATCACCCACACAAAAGTCTCTGTCCAACTGATTGATTGTTATCCTATTTACTGCCAATATTATTCAAATTAATTAACGTATTTCAGGAAAAGAAACATTTATTATTGAAGGAAAATATTTGTCTAAAGAGTCAAAGACGAATGAAATAAAATACGCTCAATCAAAATCAACGACAGGCAGACAGGGCCACATTCATTCGAATATTGAGAAAATCAAATAAATGGGGGTCAACTGATGGACACATGCTCGCATACAGAGGAGACACAGGCAGCCCAGCCAGACGTGGTCACTGAGTAATTTGCAGCACTGTTCGTGCGTGTGAATTTTGGCATTCCACAAGGCTCTCAGTCTGTACGTACATATGTATGTACATATGTGGTGTGGCACAAAAAGCTGTACGAGTATGTAAAACAAATCATTAGGTAATTGAATTTGGATAGGAAAACACACAATTTATTCGCATTCGAAGCTGTCAAGCTGCTTTTCACAGAAGGTCTGTCACTGAAATTCAATAAATGTGTAGCCAAATTCTGTGCATGTCATTCAAATTAAATGGCAATGTTTCCATGAAATTATGCCCAAGAGGAAGAATCAAAGAAATAAGAAAAAAAGACTCATTTGCTTAAGATTTGCTCTGAAATATATAATTTTTTCCACTAACGGAAATTGTATTGTAGTATTTTCTATGCAAAGCACACTATTATTAGATACGCGTATATGTATAAAATAATAGCACTGAATCAAATTTAAAATTATTTTGAAATTTTAACTGCACCTCAAATGATAAAATCTGTCGCATCCAAGTGGGAAACACTTTTTAAATCGATTAGATGATTATTTGAGTGCAGACAGCGGCTACCTCTCTCTCCATTCCTCTATCCAGGGTCCAGGGTCTCTCCAAGGGACAGGGAGTTACTTCTACAATTCAACATATTTTAGAATGAATTTAGGTTCTGTTCCGAACAACTCTGCTTACAATTATCAACAGCATTTATAAATTGTCATTAGCATTGGCTATTCATACATACATATGTGCAGTGACAATTCGTGTAAATGTCATAATTTCAAATATGCAAATTCGCACCGTTTTTTTGTTGCTGGCAAATACAAGGGACTCGCATTAATCAATTATAATTCGGTTCTAGTTGCTATGTGGTATTTTGGCGCTTGGACGTGACAATTCGGGCATATATCCTGATTTCCAATAATTTATGACACCTAATGGCAAACACATGGCGTATGCGCAATGTTCGATGCGCTTTCACCTTGCAGCTGAAATCGCAATTAAAGTCTGTGCAAGCGGCACATCTGGCAATGTTAATTATAATTTTCCATTTACACCTCTTTTCAATTTCCTTCTCCACCCTCGACTGCACTGGATCTCTGTGGGAGCTCTGGCTCGGCTCAATTAAAAGTGCATTAAGCCACGCTCAGGCGGACACAAGGTTAAGGCAGCAGCAGTAGCGGCAGCCCGTCCAAGCCAAGGGAGGATAGGCCAACAGATTGCTCTTGCTCTCTAAAGAAATTGTATCCGCTTGATTGCAGTTACTTAATGAAAGTGCATAATTCGACAAGGACATGGATAGAAAGGCCAGTACTAGTTCATGGCAAGTGCTTAGTGGGTCGGATAGCGTAGTCTTGGCCCTGGGTTCCCTTGCTGAAAAGGTGCGAAGCAGAAATACTAAAGATACTAAAAAGTATGACTATACTATACAGAATCATGAGTTACCCAAGGCGATGCTCTACTTCAGCTTCAGTTTCATCTACAACTCCTACTCGTACTCCTCGAAAATAAAAACACAGATTTAATCCCCATCTCCAGTACAACTCTTTAAGCACAGGATGTCGGAAAACAGGAGACAGGAAAACATGCTCATATTGTGGCACCTCAGTTTTTGTGCTTTTCCCTTTTGTACGGCGAAAAAGTTTCTTGTATGGAATTTCGCGTAGCACGCATACGCCGTGTGGGCCGATGGCGGGGCATTGAATAAATGAAGACGAGTGCTGGGGACGGCTATGGCGATGGTCAAAACGAAGCTGCCACTGGCAATGGCGGCTGGCGGATGGCGATGGCAATGGCGGCTGACAGCGCCATCCACAACAACAGCTCTCAAGTGCAGCGACCAAACAAGCAGCGCTGCAGCGCCAACTGCAAAAGACAGCGTCAGGCAAAAAGGCACCGGCAAAAAATAAAACGCCACCAAGACATTTTTCCAACTCTTTTTTGTTGTGCTGTATTTAAATGGATATGCCTGAGATTTCCCTTTTTTGTATACTGCGGTTGTGCTCTTGAGTGAGCGCAGGGAAATTTCGCAGTTTTCTCGCTGTCCCTTAACCGAAACATTTTAATTTAAATGTTGAAGCGTGACAAAGGCGTCGAGACTGAGGATATGAGGTTGTCTCAAATGTCGCGCTGTCAGTCAAATTTTACAATGTACTCTTCCCAAGGAAGGATGGGAGTAAAAATCCGCAAGGGACAATCTGAAATAATAAATGTAGTCCTGAATGTAGTTAAAATTTCTGAGTAATCATCTGTACAAATATCAGTTAAATGGGTACTTATTTAATACTTCAAGCGTTTAGTAATAGTTTCAATTACACGGTTTTTTTTTCACATAAATAAAAGTACCCCAAAGACTTAATGCTCCTTTTTGGGAGTATCCAGCTGAAACCCATTCGAACAGTTTCCCCAATCGTTTGGAGCTCAATAGTGATTTCATTCGATGGCTGCAGGGTATTTTCAGTGCCCATCTCCCCATCAGCATCAGCATCAGCCTGGTGGTTATCCCTAGCCATGTTTTTACTGATGCTTCTGCTCCAGCTGATGTCGTTGGTTGTTGGCTGTTGGTGTTGCCGTTGTCGTTTGAGTAGATTACCAGCAATATCCAATGGGGCTCTCCCTCCCGGATACCAGAGGGGCCCCCGGCATCGTTCAGTTGACAGACGAGAGTCGAGAGACGAGAAAAAAGCTGAAACGCTGTTAAATTATGCCTGCTCAAAAAGAGTTGAACGACGTGGGGAATACTCCTCCGATGAGGATCGGGGATGGGATGGAGGATGGTGGATGGAGGAGTACGGGTGGCAATGACGAGCCTGTGGTTACCACAGCTCAAGTGCCAATTAATAAGTTTGCCTTTGGTATGAATGGCGACCCTTCCGGGCGGCCCTCGTCATGTGATTGCAGTTGAAGAGTTTCGACTGCCGATGTCTGTGGAACGGAGGCTGGTCAGCCCTCTCTGTGTACATGAATTATTCAAAGAAAAGGATATTAAAAGAACCCACACATAGAAACACACTCATGTATACACCCTGTTTCCCTTTTTTGTACATATGTATGTACATATATGTGCAACTCGCCTCGACCCTCGACTGGACTCTGGGGCTGGCCGATGCGCCTGAGTAATTGGAAGTTTTTACTGCTGCCTCGTTTGTTCCAATTTCGCGTTCAGACCCGTATTCTGACTCTGACTCTGATTCCCACTCTGCTTTTTTCGATGTTTCTGTTGCCCCTCATATTGCTTTGGCTGCTCTGCTGTTGTTGATGAAGCAAATTTTAATGAATAATGTGCGGAAACACGCGTTGTCATTAAATATTTATAAGGCAGTGCAGTGCTCGAGCTTAAAACCGCCTGGGAGCCGCTTGGAGCCGCTTGGGAGCCGCAGAAAATATTTTATGATTTCCATTCCAGTGTACATATATCCATTTAGACGAAGTTTTAACTTACAAATTCCCTTTTATGCGAGCTTAGATCTATTAAATAATTAGCAAGAGTGTAATTAATGAACGAAACTTTCCAAAAACTTGAATTATCTTCCGTATGTTAATGTCAATTTAAAGAAATAAAAGTTGAACATCCTCACGTCATTATTTAAGGTTCTCACCTTTATAAAATAAACACTGTAAATTGTATATTCAATTATGTCCATTAAGAGGAGTCTATGGGAGAAGTACTTCCTCTGCCGCACAGCTGCCTTTATTTTTCCATTCGATAGGGATTCTCAAGTATTTCTTTTCTCATTTTCACATTTCAATTAGCATATATATGTAGGTATCGTATACAGAGACAGACCGAAAATAATAATAATAATAATAAATAATGTGCTCGAAATTCGCTGAACAATACAAAGTAATATCAGAATTTTCTCGAGCGCATTGTTGCCATTGTCTCGTTGACTGTTGTCTGTTTTTCTTTCACTTCAGCTGAGCTTGTTTCACTTTCCGGCTTTTCCACTGACTCTGGTTCTGGTTCTGTTCGTGGCCCTGGCCCTTGCTTTTCCTCTGACTGTGGCTCTTCTGCACTGCGCTCTGGAGCCGTGAAACATTGTCTGTTGATTTTCACTCTGCCATGTTCCACTGCACTTGCACTTGTTGTGCTTATTGCT